ATTTATAGAAATGGATTAATTTAAGATATAAGAACAGTTAGCAAGAAGCCTGCCACGGCCATACAGTTTATAAGCAATATAAGTCTCTGTGTTTACTTGGTTGGGTCTGAGTGGCTGTGGGACTGGCGGGTGACAGAGATTTGTCCTGACTGTGGGCAAGGCAGGAAAACTCTAGCTACTGTTGAACACTTTAAGTGGGGCTCAATCGGCCATACTAGTAGGAGCAGCTGAGAATGACACAAATTATGATGACCAGTTCACAAGATTTCAGAGGAGAATATTGGAAAGTGGCCTAGAGATTATTCTTGTAATATTTTGGCAATGAATATGGCTGTTTTTTTCTCTTGTCTAAAAAGTTTGACTGAAGCTAAATTGAAGAGTTTTGGATTAATGGTATTGACAGAGATTTCAAAAGAGCCTAATATTGACAGTATCACATGGTTATTAGTGACCAGTGTTATGAAGAACTAGCAAGCTGAGCAAAGAAAAATGCAAAATGTATAGTTTGAAGAGAAAAGGGGCACCAGGAAGTGTAATGGAGTGAAATTCTGTGCCCAAGGAGTTAAATAGATTAAGAAAAACCTTATACTACATGGAACAAAGGGAATGGTGACCTCAGGGCAAGACCCCAAACAGCTGAACTTCTAAATTAAAAGAAAATAAAGAAAGCTTGAGCAGCGAAGGAAACCACTGAAAACAGAAAGCTGATGCAGATGTAATTGAAAGAGGGGGCCATGTTCCATCTTCAACAAGCAGCAATACTTGGTAGATTTGACAGTATGGTTCTAGCTTTAGAGTCAAGAATACAAGAAAGAAATTATGGAATCTCACCCCTCAATAATGAAAGCCACTAAGGCCAGGCATATGTCAGGGGTGTCCTTGCATGGCAGCCCAGATAGGCCACAGTGTGAAGCTGTAAGGGGAAGCCTGGAAAGCCTTGGAGATCTCAAGATGTTGGAGATGCCAGAATTTTGGGATACCTGCAAAGGAAACCTGCAGACCTCCTAGTGTGGAACCAGCCCTTGAGAAAGAAGTACGTTGCACTTAACAAAGTTGAAAGGAGTTGAGGATCTGAAGAGTATTTTGACATCAGACATGGAGATGCAGGGTTTGGAGTTCATTCAGTTGGTTTTCAGTCTTATGGTGCTTGGTCCAGTATTTCCTCCCTATGCCCCCTTTTCTTTCTTTTGGAATGATAAGTATATATTCTGTGCCATTGCAAGTTGGAAGTATGTGATATGCTTTTTGATTTTGATTTTACAGGGCATTACAGTTAAGATATTGCTATGAGTCTCAGAAGACACTTTCCATTTTGGATTTTTAGCACTGTTGAGACTGTTACAGACTATGGGGACTTTAAAGGTTGGGCTGAAGGCATTTTTTTTCATTGTTATATGGCTATAAGCCTGTGGGGGCCAGGGACTGGAATGTGGTGGTTTAAACAAGAATGACCCCCATAGGCTCATCTATTTTACTGTTTGGTCATTAACGATTGGCACTACTTGAGAGGGATTAGGAGGTGTGGCCTTGTTGAAGGAAAAATGTCACTGTGGGTGGGCTTTGGAATTTCAAAAATCTCAAGCCAATCACAGTGTTTCCCTCTTCTTGTTGTTTGCAGATCCAAATGTAGAATTCTTAGCTCCTTCTCCAACACTATGTCACTATGTCTGCCTGGGTGCCATCATGCTTCTTGTCATTCTTATGATGGACTAAACCTCCGAAGCTGTAAGCAAGCCCCAATTAAATGCTTTACATTTGTAAGAGTCACTGTAGTTATGGTATCTCTTCATAGTAATAGAATATTAAGACACCACATTGGGATATTCTGAGGTTATCACTAAATTTTCTACAGTAAAGGCATAGCCAAAGAGTCAATTGATTTTGGTTCATCAATAAAGATACATGAATTGACATTTCCCATGTAGTATTGATGCCTGAAAGATTTATCAAATCCATGTATTTTGGCTAATAAGATAAGGGTCATTGAAGATAAAAAGATAAAAATCTTTGTTTTCTGTAGAATTTACATACCAAAGAGATGACTTGCCTTAGTGTAGTCAGAAGATTTCGTGTGTCCCGGCCTGCTGGCCTTTGGAACAAATCTCTTCCACTCGTGTCCCCCAAGTAAACACACAGAGGCTTATATTAATTATAACTGCATGTCCATTGCTTAAGCCTTTTGCTAACTAGCTCCTATATCTGAAATTAACCCATAACTATTAATCTATGTATCTCCACATGTTCCATAGCTTTATCTGTGTCTCATTACATGTTGCTCCTTGGGCGGCTCACTGGTGTCATGTCGTCCCATCCCTTCCCTCCCCCTTCTTCTTGTCTCTGTCTTTGAATGATCCCCTGCTTCTAGGCTGCCTTGCCATAGGCCAAACAGCTTTATTGATCAACCAATCAGAGCAACACATATTCACAGTGTACAGAAGGACATACCCCATCACCTTAGTATGCCATATCGTAGGTAGAATTAAAGCTGCCACAAAGATGCTCACATCCTATTCACTGGAAATTGTGAGTATGACCATCATGGGCAGATGCTTTGTATCTGTTGTTAACTTGGATTATATTAAGGGGAGTATTGTTCCGTATTACCAATCAAGTACTTAATGTAGTGACAAGAATATTCACATTATAAAAAGAGGCAGGAACGACAGAAGAATGATGCTACAATGACAGGAAAAGGAAAGAATATGGACAGTAGAGGGAGTAGAAAGAGGAAATGACTTCCCCCTGGAGCCTTCAAAGGAAACCCATCTGCTGACATGGTTTTAGGCTCTTTATGCTTGTTTCAGTCAATTTCTCCCCAGAACTGAAACAGAATAACGTTGGAATTTTTAAAAACCTTAAATGTGTGGTTAAGTTTTTGCAATGCTAATAAAAAAAAGTCCCTTATATTCCCTGTCTTAGTTACTTTTCTATTGCTGGGAAATACACCATAATCAAGGCAACTTATAAAAGAAAGCATTTAATTGGGGGCTTGCTTACAGTTTCAGAGGGTGAGTCTGTGACCATCACAGATGGGAGCATGGCAACAGGTAGGTTGCTATGGTACTAGAGCAGTAGCTGAGAGCTCACATCTTGAGAAACAACCAGAGGCAGAGAAAGACACACTGGGAACAGAGTGGGTTTTTGAAACTCCAAAGCCCATCTCTCATGACACACCCCTTCCAACAAGGCCACACCTCCCAGTCCTTTCCAAACAGTTCCACCAACTAGGAACCAAGCATTCAAACACAGGAGCCATGAAGGCCATTCTCATTCAAAGCATCATATCCTTGAGTCTAAAGATTTTCCTTTATTATTATTTTTTTTAGTAGTGTGACTCTAATTTCTGGGTTCCTTAAGTCTTACTGACTGTGTATTCATATAGAACATGGTAAAATGGGGAGCCTGTAGAATTTGTTATAGGAAAGCTATGATTCAGTTAAATTAAAAAAAAGGCTTTGTATGGTTGGCCAGGGAGTTTAAGTTGTTAGGCTTTTGTGTTTTGTTTGTTTGCTTGCTTAGCTATACCAAGTGGATTCCAGGAGTGGAATCCATTAAACCAAGGACTGACCAACTTTTATCTAAAAGGCTACATGCTAAGGATTTCTGGTTTGTGAGACAACAGGTAAAATCAAGACTGTTGGATAAGTAGTTATATAACAGAAGAAATATTCTTATATGTGCTTTATTATGAGATTAAAAACTAGTAATTGAGTATATTTTTATAGAACAGGCCTACTAGAATTTCCTTATTTTTCCAGTTGGAGTGGGTAATAGAATTTCATGTTAGCACCCTCGAAATGAATTGCAGACATTTGCTGCGCTAAGTGTTTCCTGACTTGTGTTTATAAACCTGGCTAAACTGGCTTTAGCGTTCTGTGGTTTCATCCTTACCCTGTAGTGTCGTTTCATCCATACTGTCTCCATTTGTGTGGATCTCTGTGTTCAGGTTTTTAATTTATTCTTGGTAGTTATCATTAAATTACTTCTGATCTAGGTTTTTCTTTCTTTATTTATTTGGTGGGTTCTTTTTCTTTTCCTTCTCTCTCTCTCTCCCTCCCTCTCTCTCTTTTTTGAGATAGGTAGGCTCTTTTTACATAGCCCTGGCTTTCCTGAAACTCATCATGTAGATCAGGCTGCCCTTGAACTTATAGAGATCTGACTGCTCTGTTTCCCCAGTACTGAGATTAAAGGTGTGTGCCACCATGCCTGGTCTTATTTAGGTTTTAAATAACAGGTTAACATACTTTAAATGCCATTTTCTTTTAATTATTTTTTTCTTGAATGCTTTGTTAAAACTGTAGTATAAAGTGAGGCCTATTTTCATTATTTCTGCTATGGGAAGATGTAGTAAGACTAGGCTTTAAATGCACATTCATTTTAATTCAGATAAGTAATTCATAATGCTTTTCTCAAGAAAATATAGATATACACATATGCAAATTTATAGATGCCATTAAGATGTATACTTTTT